GAAACAAAATATATATATATATATATATATATATATATATATATATTAATTCATGTAACTTAACCTGTAATCTACTTGTTTGACCGGTAACTCACTAATCACTAATCTATTATGATCGATAATGTATCCAGTTCTAATAACACTGATCCTAATTCCTTGTCTCCCATTATTTAAGTCCATTTAAACATGGCAGAGAGTAAACATAACACAACCTTGTAATCAACTTATAAAGTCAAAAAACAGATATAAAAAAAAAGGTTTGGAACGTGACTGTTGTACTCCAATTATTTAAGTAGCAGTTCACAATCGCCATTGTGATTTGTTAGGTACAACAAAAGTTAAGCATCTTAATCAGACATGAATATAACAGGGTGAAGGTGCGCTAGCGTTTACAAGGGCATTATTAATATTCAATCTACAGATTATTTGGCTATGTATGTTTTATTAGCACAATGTGTTCCAGGTTTCAACTTTAATGGCATTCTTCTCTCTGGTCTCCCTATGAATAACTCCGTCTCTACCTCTTCTCCCCCTTTTTCTGTGAAGAGTTCCACATCCTCATCGCTCCAAGAACGCTGTTGTTGCATCCGATACTATAACAATTTAATGATGTTAGAAATCCGCCTTGAATCATGAAGAAAGAATAACGAAAAAGAGGAATAATGTTAAATAAAATTGTAGCATGATAGTAGTTAGTTAGAAATATTTTCCACTAATTTGATACTTCATGCGAAACTTTTGCAACATATTAAGGAGTGGAATTTTGAAGGGAGAGAGAAGAGAAAATAATATTTTTATTTTTCAATTAAGAGACTTATATAACTTCTATAAAAATAAATAAAAGACGATGAAAATAAATTTATATTATTTTATTTTAAACAACTATCAAATTAGAGAGGGATAAAAAAAATATTTTCCCTCTCCAAAACTTCAGTCTCAAAATTAAAGAAACAGTCTATAATGAGATGAGTTGAAATAAAAGAATGCGCAGAATCTGATTTTGGAATGCGAAGAACAGAGAATGAATAACCTGGTCCCGTAAGCGTTTATTTACTTCGAGTAAGCACCGTTCCTGAAGTCAGTCCAAAGAACATGGTAGTTCTAATTAATGAGCAATCTAAAACAAATTATCGAAAGAAAGATATGCGTGCAATCATCAAGACATAACATTACCTCATCTTTTAGCTTCTCAATTCGCTCCCTGAACAATTGATTCTGAGCACAGGCAGCACCGAATTTTCAACGTTAGGTGTCTTGATTATTAATTAATTAATATTTTTAATACGCACATATCAAAGATCATAGACCATCATTATGTCATAATTAGGTTTTTTTTGCAGTTTTAGACGTTCTGCTCGTTATATTTAGCAATTGATTTAAGGGAAAATTTATTCAGGCCTACCCAGGCTATGGAACCGAAAAAATTCTTCATCTTGGGCTAATTTCCTTGTTAGATTTTATGAACTTTCAGTCTTAGTCCTGCTTATCTGCTAAAATAATTAGTTCAGTAGTTTTCTCCTTCTCAGATTGGTGTGTTAACCCGTTTAATTGTATTCAGCTTTGCAGTTTAAGTTGAGGATTGGCTACAGGGGCCTTTTATGGGTTTGATACTTGTAGAGGTATCTTTTTTTCTTGATTATAGGATGTGAATTGTATACAATAAATTTCCTTTAACTGTTAATGTTGAACATTTTTTGCGTCTTAAATAATAATATCAGTCTTTAATGTGTTGTTAGCTTTCTTTAGTTTCCCTTTAAACCCAATTTATTTCAACCTTTATAAACAATTAATATATCCTGAACTACTTGTTTTGGTTAAGTGTTTGTTTAATTTTACATTGAATTCTTAAAAATTATGTAAAATGTCTGTTAACATGTAAATTTTCAGATGTATGATTTCACATTAAGAAATTTATTATATGTCAATAATTGATTCTTAATTGAAACTACTTTATTATATCAAAACTATTGTTATATTGAGTTTTAATATGATAAAAACACAAATGAATTTTACAAAAATAATTTAATTCAAAATCAATTTTTTCAACACTCATCAAACACACGTTAACATAAGTGGAAAATTATGTGATTGAAGAATACCTTTCTTGCCCTAATTTTGTTGAGGCTGCTTTCGATCTGATTCTCTAGCTGTTGTAACTCGTAAATACAACACGTATCCAATTCATCACCCAAAAGCTTCCTGCATTATGTAAGGATCTCCAATGTTGAGAGTAGTCAGTTATGTGTTTCTCTCAAAACCAATCAGATTAATGAAACTTGTGAAAGTCGGTTCTAAAAACCTTCTGGAAACTTCTAGGTGCTCGATCTTCGTTGCCATCCTGACATCACCTTCCTTCGGAGGCTGCATGTAACACAGAATATATAAAGGACACAAATACGATTTCCCACTCGTTCACTCATTAATTAAGCTATCATATTTGTGTTCTGATGAACCAAACGCGATGGTAGTGTTACTTCTTCTTCTCTTTCGTTGCATTAAATATTCGAAGTTGAAAATAAAATGCTAGAGTAAGAGTCTAGATGAAAATCCAGAAGCATCATGAGAATAAACTGAAAGCCTATCGAAGGAGAAGAGGGACAAGCACAACCAACCATCACAAACTATGCAAAAACGACTGTGAAATGGCACCGAGAAGTGGCGATTCTGGTGGAGGCACTGTGGGATTAGGGTCTAGATACTAATTGGAACACATAATGTAAAGCATACAAATGGCTAAATTCAAACGTAGAAGTCGTGCGTGCATGCATGCGTGGAGATGTGTATATATGAGCATATAAAAGTTGGGAATTCATTCAAGTGAGGGTATATATATATATATGCATGAAATAATTGAAAATTAAGCAGACAGACTCATAAAATTAAGGCTAAATTTCTTCTTCTTTTTTTTTTTTTACCCATAATTTATAACTTAAATTTTGTCATCAAAATTTTAAAATTGTACATTTAGCTACTCAATTTTAAAGAATTTAACATATTTTATCATCTTGTTAATTTACAATCTAAAATCTTTAATTAATTATTGATACGATTCATTGATTGTTGACATGTGATAGTTGATATAATATTTTATATCATATCATCATTTATATATCACATTAGTAATTGTCATGATATATCAATAGTCAACATATTATATTAAACAATTAATTGGTAAAATGATAATTCTAAAATGTAAATGAACAATTACCTTAAAATGTAAATTATAAAATATAAATAGTAAAAAATTGTAATTAAACCTAAAATTAATTATTGATTTACGTGGATATACCATGGTATTCAACCCATGTTGTTTCTTACAAGTACATACCATAGGGCTTTGGCTAAAAGATGCCATTAATGTAAAAAAATATTATTTGGACCCAAATAAACTTTCAAAAAATTCTTTATCCTATTTGTACTTGTTTTCAAACCCATTTTGTGTTTCACATAAGCGCTTTAAACTTGTTCAGCAACTCGGGTCAAAATATACATGGACCAAAATTTCTTTCAGTCATAAAACAACCGTAGGATCCTGCAATTATAATCAAAGGACATAATTTTTTCAATTATATTTTATTTTATTAATTAATATAAATTAATTTTAATGGATAAGATTTCATGTGTGCAGCCACTTTTATGACTGCAGAAAATCCATGTTCAAAACAAAAATATCCATGGGTATATGTTGCTAAAGTACTGTTTACTGTAACATCAATGACGTATCTTGACTGTGTTTAAGGTGGAACTAAAAACCACTGTTATTTTACTTTATACGGAATATCAACCTGTTCTATTTACGGTATATTTCATGAAGACACAACTCAAAACTATAGGAGGCTAGACTGGCTAGTTAAACATCAAAACTTGCTACATTTGGCAGCAACCATGTACGCATGGATCGAAGTTTAGATTTTTCATGACACCAAAAATTAACCTGTTGAAGATGTATTGCACAACAACCATATATAATATAGTGTATGTTCCTAACAATATCATTGTCATATATTCGATAAAAAAAAATTAAGCAAATACCAATATATATATATATATATATATATGAAGGGCTAACCTGTGTGTTTTCATGGATTCCTTTGTTGCTGACACCCTGGTCCTTGATTTTCCTTTGATATCGTTCAACTGTTTTGTTTATACTGGAGCATCTCCAATGGACAAGAGCATTAAAAGTTTCTGAGCTACCACTGATTTGATACGACAGCATGACAGGATATTTGAAATGTGAATGATCACTGAAGTGAACCAGTGAAGCACATTTCACAAGAAAATAGCATTCATCGGTGACATTCACCAGTTCACTTCAGGAATGATTCACTGGTTCACTAGTTTCTCGGAGAAACTTTGAAAACAACAGGTTTTTCATAAGTAGGAATAAGACAATATATGCAGGTGGATGCCATGAATATACCTGAGACTAAAATGGCTCGTTATGAAACTAGAACGGTCCGTTTTGCTTGTACATGTTATGTATTAACTTTGCAACTAGAACGGGCCGTTCCAAATGCAAATTTAACACACTATGAGTGTAGCAGAACGGGCCGTTCTGATTTTAAAACGGCCCGTTCTAGAACGCCAACTTCATGCATACGTTGACCAAAATGCCGTAGTGTGATTTAAAAATTGAAAATAAAGATTCATAACATACCATAAATTCAAAGACAGAAACATGGTTCAGAAACTGAAAACAAAAATTCAGAACATAACATATATTTATAAAGTTCAAAGAAATTACTGAGAAAGGAAATCATCTAGGTAACGCTGAAAGGAAACCCTAAACCACAAAAATTCAGGTTGTACCTAACAAATTGTTATTGTTGGGGTACATCGTCAATGACTTCAAGGAAAAACACTATTTCGTTTCATCCTTGACTATATAGTATCAATTTGCTAGTAAGTGGTTCACTCCAGTTTGACTAACAATTAAATAAAACCTGCTACAATTGTCCTTAATGATACACTGCATTGTCCTTAATAATACACTATATAGCCCAAATGTTTAACAATTGAAGTTATCAATCCTCATTGACAATATTACCAAATTTAGTGTTTGAAATACTTTATACCTTGGGTCTTTTTCCTTGCACGATTCACAATCGTGAACTACAATCATCGACCATTCTGGACCAGAACGGCCCGTTCTGGTTACACTATTAGTATGTTAATTTCGCATCTGGAACGGCCTATTCCAGGTACAAAATTAACACACCAATAATATAACCAGAACGGGTCGTTCTGGTTCTAGGTGTATTCAAGAAATTTGGCATCTACCTACGCATCTACGTGACATCTACGTAGCCAACAGTTAACTCCGTTTAAATCATTTGGACGGAAGTCCCAAATTGCAATAATTTAAATGATTAGCGACTAAATTGAAACAAAAAATTAAAATGAGACTAAATTAAAACAAAAAATATTATAAGAGACCAAATAAGGATTTTAACATAAGAAATATGACTTGAAAGTAAAAATTAGAGAAAATGTGTTATCACAAGTTTTTAAGTTTAAATATATGGAATCAATAATACAAAAATGTTAAAAAAAATTTAATAAAGATGTCACACAAAAATACAAGAAAAATGACTAAAAAGAAAAAAAGATACAAGGGTTATTCGTAATTACAAAGTGCCTACTAAATTTAAAGACGACTTTTATCATAGTGCTATATGTTTAACTATACTATATATGATAGTGAATGTAAGATGGATGTGTGATCACATGGATAAAAATTAGGAAAAGACGAGATACAAAATGATTGTGTATGAAAAGAAATCGGTGTAACGTCAATCAGAAAAACATGACAATCAATTTTGATGGTTTAAGATATGTTTGGGATTCAATTGAATTAAGCTCAATTGGAGTTTTAAAAAAAAATTACACTCACAAATTTCAATTTTTTTATATTGAAATGTACATGATTTTAAATTAGTATCTAGACACACATAAAAATAAAATAAAAATAAATAAAAAAAGTTATAAAAGACAATTCATAATTTTTTACTACAACAAAATAGACTTTTAATAATATTTCATATAATTTTTAGTGATAATAAAAATTATTACAAAATAATTTTTTATTTAATCTAAAAAAATTACATTTAATATAAAGATTCCTCTCAATATTCTTGTAAAAGTTTTTTTACATATCTTTCTTATTAGTAAAAAAATTATTAGTTAAAATGATTATAACAATACATAATGCATTAAAAAAAATAGTAAACTAACTTTTCAATCATGTATAAGGTCGGCCAAATAATTAATGATAGAAGTCTGAAAACAAAATTTAAGACAGACTTTTATACTAGAAATAAAAATAACTATATTTTAGGCCTTTTATCAATATATTTGACTTTTCTGTTTTACTAAATGTAATAGTAAAGAATTTTTTAGTTAGTCAACTTTAATAATTTTTCAATAGCAAAGAAATAAAAAAAAATTCTAACAAGTTATATGTAGCAATATTAACCCTATAAATACTACTTTCAGTTTAAAAATGAAATGCATTTATGTCTTCGATGTTATCAAGGAAGAGAAGTACGTAGCTAGTTGTAGACTTGAAATACTGATATTCAAAAGGAAAGTATATATTCAAGAATATAATTAGCCATTTTTTATAATAGAGAAATGCTTATTATTTCAAAAAGTGGACGGAAAATTTAGTCAATTGAGTAAGAAAAAATTGACATATGTAAATGCATTAATTACAAATTCACAACAAAAATATTTTCGGAAGAATATTCGACCGAAATGTTTCAGAGGAAATATTATTTCTCTTTATAATACTATATCTTCAAGATCATTTAGGTAGGATCATTATCAATTTATCATCAAATTTTAATTCTCAGCCATTATTAAAACAAAAAATAACCAAACTCAACAAATAAGAATTATTTCAAGGAACGGACACGCCTCAAAAGTATGTCATTGAACAGAAAAATTGCTGAATTCACCAAAAGAATATTTTCTGTTTGGAAGATTGTGGTTCTCGGAAACAATTAAATAAACTCCATGTTTGTCTAGATGTCAATTAGAAAAAACTCAAAAATACATTCGTTTTACTAAAATAAATTATTTCTTTTTTAAAAACATGCTTCCATACTTTTATCCGAACAAAGTCTTTTATAGTTTATACACTAAACATTGGAATTTGGAAGGGGTTTCTGTCATTTTATTAAAAAATTTACGTGGCATAAGTGATTAATTGACCATAGTTTAGACTTCAGAGAGATAATATAATCCTCGATATAGCACAAGACAATGCCTTGGGTTTCTGTTCCAACAGAAAATTGGCCTTGGGTTTCTGCAACTATATACACTGATAAACAGACCACACCTCAAACAATAATTTGACAAATACAAAAGGAAAAGGGCCAGTATAATTGGCAGAAGGTTTTGAATGCATTATCCTAAGATTTGGACATATTTTCATTAATGAATAGAACAAAAAAATATTACCAATAAGTGATATTCGTGGCGGATCAAAAAGAGAAACAGATTTTAATATAACAGTAATTTCAGGTATATCAAGGTCCGGCTCTTACTTTGATGTTATTTTTTAAGATTCCAATTTGTATCATACTGAATCCTGTCCTACGATTAAACAACTAATGGTTCTAAAAAAAATGCTATCTTCATTAGAAATTATTTATCATCTAAGGCCATATCCAGGGGGTGATTTATAAACAATTCCAGTTATCAGCTTCTTTTTTCCTTTTTTCTTAAGAATCAATATATAAATTATTTTTATAAATTTTAAGTACCAATTCTTAAGAAAAAAAAAAGAAAAAAAACTGATGTGACAAGTAAAGTTACTAATGACCTAAAGTAATAATATTATCTTTAATTGCTTAAAAAAGATTATACATAAATAATCTTTTTGATTAAAATATCCTTACTAAATGACTTTAAAGTGTAATTAAAAATTATTAAATATTTAAGTGAGATATTTTTAAATAAGAATAATTCAAAAACATAATACATTTTGTTGTTTTAAGTGAAAATAAGTTTTGTTTTGAATGCTGATCAGTGATCACTAGGATTTAGAAAGGCTTCTAGAAAAATGGAAATGACATATTTACACCTCACCCATCATTGGTTTTTTCTTGTTCCATTTGGTAGGATGGAAGTACAGAAAAATTTTGAAGAAAAAGAAAAGTGAGTGAAAATTGATTTTGAATTATATAATAAAAGAGAAAAAGAAAAAACCAATAATTTAATTGAACTTTTCTCTAACTTGGGTCTAATTGTCTAGTTCAAGTGAACCCTCAGTAGCTTGAACCTGGCAACGGGCTGAAGCAAGGAGTAGAGTTTTCTCTCCATCTTGTCCGAGAAAGTGCACATAAGTTTCGAAATAAATTTTTTTTTGAAAATATATAGAAAAAATATCTATTTACTTTAAGTCTATATTTAATAATTAATATTTTATATCAAATTTTAATGATTTAATTATTAAATTAAAAAAATTTAATGTATAGATCAAGTTTACAAATTTTTTAAAAAATTAAATATTATTTGATATTTTATTTTATTAATTTAAATTAACAAAAATCATAAAAGTATTTTATCAATTGATTTGAATTTATATAAAGAAATATCAAATAGTTCTCAATCTAAAAAAAATTATAGACTTGATCTATATATTAAAAAAATTTAATCTAACAGTTGAATTGCTAAAACTTGATATATGACTTAAGTTATTGAATAAAATAAGTCTTGATAGAGTTACTCTTAAAATAAATGGATCTTTCTTATACTCTAAGTGTTAGTCTAAAAACTCATACTAAATTTTATATCTTCAATATTTTTTTTGTATAGTGCAAATTTAACCGTTCCAATCAATGAATTATGTGATATTATATTCAAGATTATATATATCAAATTTTACATTATTAATTTAATTTTTTCTAAATATGTTATCTAAAAACGGATATTTACACATATCATATTATATGTGAAATTAAAACAATACGATGAACTACTAAATAATTTTAAAATTACGTAAAATTTGATATATATAATCTTGAGTATAATATTACATAATTCAATAATTAGATCAATTAAATTATTATTACACAAAAGTTATTAAAAATATAAGATTTGATGTAAGATTTTGTGTGTGTGTGTGTGTATTTATTTATTTTTAAAGGTAAATAATTTTAAATATAAATATAAATAGTTATTATAATAAAAGTAAGTTAGAAAAAATTTTAATTTAAAATTAAATAACCTCTCAAAAACTCAATTTTTAATTTTTTGCTTTATTTTTCTTCAATTATCCTTTAACCAAATAACTTCTATTTTCACTTCAATTTTTTAAATTTATTTCTCTATTCATCCTCTACCTCTATTCCATCGCCACACTACCAAACACATCCATTATTATAAAGACAAAAGCAGCAGCTCCCACTTCACTGTGGTGAAAGCCCGACAAGCCCCACTCTCTGAAGAACAAGAAAGTGGTCGATGATTAACTTCCTGTTGTGCATCAGTGCTTGGCAATAGTGTTGTACTAATTATAACGAAGCTGGATTCACGATGAGCTCCATAGTTAACACTCAACAAGTTATACGTTTTAACATGATGTATCTAAAGTAAATAAACATGCATGGTACCTTGTCTTGAATTATAAGATGGTCTTTGATGTAAATTGAAACAAAACATAAGTAAAATAGTACAATATAGTTCAGTCATAATAAACTTTTTTTTTTTATTCTGTTTATTAGTAATCAATGCACAATACGACCAATGAACCATGGAATTATGATAGCCTATAAGTCTGGTTGGCTTTGTCGATGGTTTTTAATAAGGTTAATGAGATTTCGCCAAATCAATAGATATTTATTATTACATCACGAAATTTAGCTACTATAGTATAGAATGTGCTATTGTGTTACTAGCATTCTTTTTTTAATCAAATGTGAAATTAAAAAAATTATACTACGTAGTACTTCATGTTTCAACCAATGAATTGCATTTTAAGGAAAAAGAGGGATTGTCGTTTATACGCGAGACTAATAGGACAACTTACCTTCAATTAACTGTACCTTTTGAGGGGAAAATGTACCAAAACAATCCATATATATGACAAAAAAAAAAGGTAAAGAAAAAAACACTGACACGTATGGCTAAATATGTCTATGTCCATAATCCAGGTGAATAATAACAGACTATTCCTTTCTTAATTCACCTTGATGATTTTGGCAGTCCGTTAAATTTATTTCTTCCTTGTTAACCCTTGTGTAGGAATTCTTATTTTGCAAGTGTGATGATAATCTAATATAGTTATAATTATAAAATCAACCCTTTCCTTCTACAGTGCCCTATATATATATGAGCATCTATTATCTTACTAGCTTATTTATTTTCCAGTTTCAAAATTGATATTCAATGCGTATAGTATAGGTCTCTTATATAATATTTCTTAAGCCAGCAAGGATTAAATAGGCTAGCCATGATTAAAATTCACAAAATATTCATGCTATTACTGACAAGGGGCTGAGGTAGCTTTATGCTTATGGTACGAACCTAGCAAACTATGGCCCTGGTTCCATATATAGGCATAAGATTCAGTACTACTCAGCGTCAGGGAAAAACATTTTTACCTATATTGAGTGAAATAATGAAGAACTTAAACAAGTAATTAGTAAGCTTGAAAGATGAGTGGGAGTAACATACCTTGAACTGGAGAACTCATAAAGCCTGCCTCTGTTAGAGAAGATGATGAGTGCGACTTCAGCATCACACAGCACTGAAAGCTCAAAGGCCTTCTTAAGTAACCCGTTCCTTCTCTTCGAGAACGTTACTTGCCTGCTTGTCTCATTCTCGATGCGCTTCATCTGAGTTTTACCCCTCACCATATCCTTGGAGAGTGAAGATCTGAACTGAAACAAACTAACAGAAAGCGAGATCTGGTTAGCCATGGATTAGACCGCAAGTGGCCAAAGCCTATAATGTTGTTGGTGTTTCCAAAAATAGAAAGTGAATACTCAAAGAAATCAAACCTGACAAAATTTTAATCTGGAACCAAACAATGGAATCTTTTGTGCCCTCAAGGAGCTGATTGCAAGCTCAAATGCTCAATCACAGAAACCCTAACACAATTTTCCCGAGAAAAGCAGCAGAAGAGAGAGAAAGAGAGGCATCAGTGACTGATTGATGGATTGCTGGTTCCCCTGTATGACCTAACTTTCTTTTTAGGTCTTTTGCCTATTATTATATTATATTATTATTCTCACTTATTAATAATAATAATAATAATAGTAATGGAGTATAAAGAATCATTTTGCATTGAATTAATAGAAAATTGGTAAAACCGATCTAGAGCTAGTCAAAATTGATAAATAATAATAATAATAAAAAAATCGGTGAAATCGATTTAAACTAATCCAATTAAAAAATATTTTAAATTTTAAAATTTTAATTTAAAATAATATTTAATCATTTATGTTAATTTATAATTTTGAATATCTTTTTTTTTTTTATAATTTATATTATATTAATTTGATTTTTTATTCTATATGTAAAATTGTTATTATTAATAGACATTATTTTCACTATAAAAAATAGATATTATTATATTTTATTAAATTATAAACTTAAATATTATATTATATAGAATTTAAAAATTTATATATATATATATATATATTAATTTTTTTTGAAACTTATATATTAAATGTTAATAATTTATAAATGACATTTTATTTTAGTTTTTAGTGTTAGAAAATTATAATATTATATTAATTTGTATCAACAATAATAATAATAATAATTATTATTTTATTAATATTAATTTAATCATAGTTAAACTATTAAACTTTAAATCAATGCATAGATCAATTTAATAATCAATTCAATTTTAAAAGTATTATTTAAAATCTATCAAGTCAAACGTGTCTTAAGGATAAAAAAAAAATGGAATTTGTTTTATGTTATATAAACACAACCATTCAATCACAAATTATCTTGTATGTGATAACTTTTTTATTTCTCCAATAATACTTTAAAAGTATATAATAATAATTTTTGATTAATTAACTGTAAAATCATTTTACAGTAAGGGTGTAAAGCTATTAAATTCTATTAAAAAAAATGGATTGTTAATACTCTGTTGATGCTCGTTATTTTATTTTATTTTTGTTCGAGAACAATATTTCATATTTTAATCTGCATGATAAGGCTTCTTTTGTTGTTGATGGTTGTTTAAGCCACGTTGAAATTTTAATGGCGATGCCTCCTTACTCTTCTTCAATCCATTGCGACAAGTAAGATTTCTGATTTCCATATTCGGGTCCAATCAGCTTCATCGTCCATCTCTTCCATCCAAAACGCACACAGTTTCTTTGGGTACCAAGGCTGGCTTTTGGCCCGCTTGGACTGGGCTCGAGTGTTGGGCCGGGCCGACGATATATTAGCCTGTAAGAGTTTAGCTTACCTCGATGCAGTAAAATCTTGCTTTTACTTTTCATTTTCTTTCTTTTATGTTTAAATATATTTTTGTATGTATAATTTGTATTTTTAGTCCTTACAATTTTTTTAATTATTACAAATTTCAATTTTTTTTTTCACCGTCCGTCTTTGTTATAATAATATGACATGATAATTAATATATTTGATGTTATAGATGATGTCATGACGATATGTCATATATAAAAGATATTATATTATTACCGATTTAAATGAGCTAAAATATAAAATACAAATAATTTATAAAAATTAATACTAAAAAATCTATATTTATTTAAAAATATTAAAATGACATATTTTGGAGAAAAAAATATTTTAACTTTAAATTAAATATTAAATATCAAATTTATCTCCCTTTATTTTTACATTCTTTAATATATTGACACATTCAAAATTTTGAAGCTTATGAAATTATTATCATGAAACACTGGCAACATAGTAATTATTTAAGTATGGCAATCAAATTCAACTTAACTGGTTTTAATGGAAAAATCTTGTTTTGACAATACGAAATCAAATTTGTTCAGTTTTGTAGAAATTATATTGAGGATATGTAGCATAACTCTATCACACCCTTGCCTAGCCGATTTGCATTCTTTTCTTTCCCTTTTCATTCAATTTTTCTTTTTTTCTTTTTTCTTTTTCTTCCCTCTCACGTCTCTTTTTTCTCCATCACTTTTTTCCTTTCTCTTCTTTCTTTGTTTTTATCTTCTCTCTCTCATACACATCATTTTCTTTTTTCTCCTTTATCTCCTATTAACTCAAACGCAAAATTATAAAAATCAATAAATGTTATAACTAGACATGGTAAGTAAACCTGAATCCATAGGTGAAATCAATGGTGTACCTACAATTTATGTGGTGCATGGGTGAACCAACAAAATAAAGTATGATTGTGATGTAGTTCAGTGGTGGAGGAAAAAAAAATATCGTTAGATATATGAACAATTAAATTGAATGATTCAAATTCATTTGTAGATAAATTTTTTATTGATGTATTAATTTTATTTTTTGATTGTAAATGTCCATTTTGTCCAAGAAAATTGGCCACCCCTTTAAGATTGTTTCTAATCTAACCTCCACCAGAGTTGCCACTAGCATCGCTGTCATGAATTCACTGGCACCAATGCAGCTAGCACTGGCACAAAAAACAAGCATCGCAACCCTACCATGAACGATTCCTCCTTCATCATCGCCTTCCATTACCTTTGCCCCCTCTACAAGATCAACAACATCATCGACTGCAACGATATTGTCAAATAGGCAACATTAGGGTAATGATCCATATTGACGACATGCTCGTTCTACTTGAGGAGCACGTCGTCACCATCCATAATACCTCCGAGGAGACCAATTGCCTTGACGACATCGACAACCTCCTCTCACTTGTGCAGGATGCTTTTTTGAATTCACTAGAATGTAGTTCTCAAGGATGCATGTGACGACGATAGGAACCACGTTAATTGTCTTGACGACACCAATGACCTCATCTTGCCCTCATAGGACGTGCTCTTTCGAATCCACCAGTGTGTCGTCATTGAGGCCTCATGTGATGATGACAATAGGAACCACGTCAACCACCCCTTGACAACACTAGTAACCTCACTCACCTTGCATATGATGTGTTCTTCTAGGTCTATTAAGAAGTCATTGTTGAGGATGCATGCAATGACAATGGCAACAAGAACCACGTCACCACCAACTCCTAGTGCCATCCAATCATGGGAAAAAGGGTGACCATGGAGGAGGAGGCCTTGAGATATAAAAGGGTATTTTAGCAATCTCAAATAATTTAAATAAAATAATAATAAATAAAGCTAGTGTTCACTTCTCCACAGGTGGACAATATGCTATGGTAATCCACTATAGCCAGCACGAAATTCATATTTATCAACTCAATCCTAAGTCAACCTTGATAAGAGAATCTCACTTTGATTGATGCTAAGTTAATTTTTTCTCGATTTGTAAAAGTGGAGCTTGATTTGAGTTAGAGGATGTAGCCTTTTACCCTCATCATCAAACCTACCCTATTACCCATGTTTTTTATATATATAATTTTTATAATGTATATATATATATAGATAATTATATTCAAGGTTTAATTATTCAACTGTGATCAAATCGATATTAATAAAATGATAATAATAATTATTATTATTAAAAAACTAATATTAAATATAATATTCTAATTTTATGATACTAAAAATTAAAATTAAAATGTTATTTATAGATTCTTAACATTTAATATATAAGTGAAATTCTAGATACTATATAATATAATATTTAATTTTGTTTTAACAAAATATAATAATATTTATTAATAATTACAAGTTCACATCTAGAACAAAAAGTATCGAATTAATATGGAATTTTGACCATTGTAAGGCAGTTTACAAAACTATTTACATAAATGAAGTTCTTTTAAAATTATTTACACTTTTAAGACTATTTTTTTTATGTATCACTATGGCCATAACAACACATGTCACATGGATTTTTTTTAGCCATGTAGTTGGAATCGTTACAACTAATAACAACAAAATATAGTCATTATTGGCTTTAGCAATTTAAAGGTAATTGTTTTTTTTTTGTTGTTGCTACAATCTATGACGATCCCATTTTTTTAAGGGGTCCTTACAGTGCATGACAACCCTTATTTTAAATTTTTTAAGGGGGTTGATATAACCAATGACAAATTTGTTATGTTGACATTGATTTTGATAATTGAAATTCTGGTGGACAACACCAATATGTATCTCGCGATTGTGAAGGATAACAAGGCTCTTGTGAAGTAGTATAATATATCCTCAATTGTCTTTCTGGAATACTGGGGTAAGTGTACTCCACAACCTCAATTCCCTTCCTTTGTCGTGTATTACCTTGTGCCTCCCTAGAGTATGGAGGAACATGGAACGACTCAGGCGGCGTGTCCCGTAGAGTTAACGGCGGTACAAGATGGTGACGGATTATCGCTTGAGGGGAGGAGATCACGAGACATGTGGTCCTTGGTCTGAGGGGAGGTTTGTTGGGATTCATCCCAAGTCCCACATCGGTAAAATGAAGGAACATTGGCTAGTTTATAAGTGTCCACCATTCCACATAGTATGAGGCCTTTTGGGAAGGAGCCCAAAAACAAAACCGTGCGGGCTTGGGCCCAAAGCGGACAATATCATACTATGATGGTGGAACAAGTGGACTATCGTGCCCAATAAGTGGTATCAGAGCCAACGGTTCGACTGGGTTCGATGCGGGAAGACCCTCAGTGTTGTGCCTCGTGATGGAGAAGAGATCCGAACTTGGTGCCTTGTGTCGAAAGTCTTCCTGATATCCTGGTGTTCAGGCAGCGTGTCCCGTAGAGTTAACGGCGGTACAAGATAGTGACGGATTATCGCTTGAGGGGGAGGAGATCACGAGACATGTGGTCCTTGGTCTGAGGGGAGGTTTGTTGGGATTCATCCCAAGTCCCACATCGGTAAAATGAAGGAACATTGGCTAGTTTATAAGTGTCCACCATTCCACATAGTATGAGGCCTTTTGGGAAGGAGCCCAAAAACAAAACCGTGCGGGCTTGGGCCCAAAGCGGACAATATCATACTATGGTGGTGGAAAAGGTGGACAATCGGGCCCAACAAGTGGTATCAGAGCCAACGGTTCGTCTGGGTTTGATGCGGGAAGACCCTCAGTGTTGTGCCTCGCGATGGAGATTCGAACTTGGTGCCTTGTGTCGAAA